AAGTCATTTTTGCACGTTGTACTATGGATTGAAATCCGTTTAAAACAGCAATTTTACTTGCATAATAATTCTACAGACAATAAACATTGTGACAGAATTCACAATAGGAATGGGAGCAACAGCATCTATGGATAAAGGTCGGCAGATGTATGCGAAAGATGGCCACAGTTAAAACAGGAATGTTGGCATGCTTGGGCAAATATATATACGAACTTCTCCTTGCGTGTATTCTATAATCTACCATTTGATAAAAAGGAATTATATGTAGAATGAGCGGATAACAATATTCTATTCCTTTCTTATGACACCATTAAGTAACTCTCCCAACCTAGTAGGACATCTGCCGTCCTAAATTGGTGATACGCGAGAAACGAAAAGGAGTTATTAGATATTCCATATTTCGAGAAGGAAGACGTAAGTAAGGACAAAACAAATCGGTGCATTCCTGATCAAAAATAGAAACGTACAATTAGTAGATTAAACGTTCACAAGTGAGAAAAGCGGTGCCAACAGATCAATGTTAAAAAATCATCATGCATTTGTTGAAATCACCGCAATTGAAAGCTAATCACATAACCGAAAGTAGCTTAGAATGCCACTCCAAGAAGCTGAGAAGTTATACGTTAAAGAATTGATATATTATATTAAAACCCGACTAAGCATGGAAACGCGTATTGCAAGCTGTTTAAGGATGCTAGAAGAGAATCACAAATGAAGCACATTTTCAAGATCTAGAAGATTTCGAGCAAAGTTGAAGGCTGCACAAACGATAATGACAAGTGTTACTACTTCTTTTTATTACCGGCGACTTTCTTTGACATTTCGGCTTCCATCGCCTGCAGTTCCTTCCATTTCTCGAGGCGTTCTGAATTACCTACGTTCAGCTTAGCTTTGAAAAAATACAAACCAAAGTAACCACAGGAAAACAACTCTTTGCATCTCCGAACGATCCACTATCGAGTCGCAACTAGGCGAATCCCTCTAAATCTCTCAGGTATTTACAGTTGGAGAAAACTGACCTAAACATTCACTGACTGCGGATGCGACTTTCTTCATCTGAGCAATTGAATCTCGTACATACTTCTCTGTATCGTAATCTACGGTACTTGAACGCGTACGTAAGTCGGCTAACTCCTTTGACCACGTCTTTGTGCTCTACAACAACGAATATGGAAAATACGAATCCAACAACATATAAGGACGAACTATTACCAGTTCAACATTGTACTGAGTGTACAAGGCATCTTCTTCGGCAGCGTTTACACTTGAGATCATTTTCATCATATCAAACGTAGTCTTGTCGGTACCCTACAGATAAGAAAGCAAATTATCGTTAGTTAGTGAGGTAAATGAATGATGCTCACATTTCGACTGCAAACAAGGGAAAGATCAGCGTCTTCGTTATCACCATCATCACCAGCCCCATCGCCTCGGAGCATCAATTCGTCATCACCCATGGGTGGAGAACAACCGCCTTCATCAGCTCCAAGTTCTTTTACTCTACAAACAAAAATAACTTGAGAGCTGCTGAAAGGAAAATCTCGTAAGACGAGGAAGTTTGAACAGCACAGAAGGGTATCATTAGATTGACTATCTTTCACTGGCTTTAGAAAGATGAACTTACCCCAACATGCTAGCTGTTCCACTATTTTTGGAATCATTGAGAGGTGATTTGTCGGAAGGGCCAAGTTGGGCACGCAAGCGGCGTGCTTTGTAGGTGATCTCAACCGGGAGGAGAACTAGGATTGACCTATTGATTTGCATGCCCAAAAGAGTATATAAGGGGCAACCTCCCAGGCAGTTATTCTTCATCCTGCGATTTCGACTCGACGTCCACCCTTCCGACGGACCTACTCTTCGACCGTTGCTCATCCCCGACGGAACTCCCATCCCCTCAGTGTCGCTGTTGAAGGATTTCACCGCATTGTCATTTTATCGTTTTTTTTTCATCGTTTCGTGTTCGTCGTTATTGATTTTTGCCGAATAAATTGTTCGGTCAATCTAGTGTCCTGTTTGTCGGTCGGTCACAAACCGGAACTTATTGGAGATTTGCCAAACTGTACCTCTAGTACATCTTTGTGGGCAAATGCCAATTATTAATACCTTATTTCTATCCGTGGTACAGAAAGGTAATGACAACGTCGCGGCAGTTCGACTTTAGTACGCAACACCATCAGAACACAAACACCATGTGAATTTTGGAGCCTTTCTGAAGCATATCATATGTGCTCACCTGTCAGCATACCGCAAGGTGTTGATGGTGTGTTCGCACGACGACATTCCAGGGCTAATCATTGCTATCTGAAATGAGTCGAACTTCACCTCTTGTTCTTGCTGCGCATAACAGCTGAGCAAAGGTAGTCCACTAAGTTCGGATACGAACCAATAGTGTTCGGATGTTTCAAGTATGTATTACAATAAGCAATTTCGCGATATACAAGAAGCTCACCATGCATGTGCGCGCCTTCTCTCCTATGAATGAATCGCGAAGGACTAAGGTGAGCTTTGATGTACGGAATGGTACGTGATGGCTGTTCTTCGCCATAGCGCGAATACATTCCTAAAAACACATAATTTCCAAACATCACTCCAACACGAGAAATTTGCAATGACTATTTCGAAGTGCAGGTCAAGAATCACGAGAAATCCGTCAACCTGGAATCTTTGCTAAATTTTCAGAGGGCTATCATGCGCGTCGTACAAAATAGGTGAGCACAGGGAAAGATTATATGTAAAGAAATAATAGTAGCATCGAAAGACCATGAACCTTCATGGCCAAGAGCCACTACGTACCTTAGAGAGCTGAGTGTAAATATTGTTGATTTCAGCTCCCTCGTGCCGTGTTTGCCTATCGGAATTACCAGTATCTTGACCACGTTCGTTACCCGCTAAGTCAATCAGTGAAAACTTTCCCCATAATTTCTTGTCCCTGAAAATAGACTTTATAATGGCAGCCATTTCACAGAAAGCACGACAAACTTACTTTCGGAGCACAATTTGGAAGACGGCATGGGATCTGCTCGAATTGGAATTTGCAGATGTGGCGCCAGGCAGTGCGCATGTCGGTTCCTTGTCGAATTAAATCCAGGACCTGAATATTATATTTTGCTGAAGGAGTATTCAAGATTATAAGAAAAAAGTATCAGAAACTAGTGAAAAGAAAACCACAAAATGGAAGCAAAATAATCGAGAAATAGGCCAGTGGCGCAAGAATGATCGATTTCAAACCCACGTCATTCTCAGATGCGACCGGGAGCTCCTGTAGACCAACAATCTGCACTTCCTTTTTACCGTCCTCTAGTACTCGTAACAATGCCTTGTGTTTCAACAAATCAAACACCTAAAGCAAAAAGGCAATTAACTGTCTATTCTTTGTGAGGAGGAAAAGAGATAATGATGGTGACACTACTCACTTTTCCCCCGTATATTTCGAAGAAACTGCAGCTAACAGACAAATTCAGCTTTCTGTATTGTTGCGAGTGCTGCATCTTGAAGACATCACTTGCTGTGAGGGCATAAATCCCACTTGCACAATTCTGCAAGAGGAATTTTATAAGAACAAATTGAAAGGTCGATTAAATTGCCACAAGCATAAAATATTCATCGCCAGAGCAAAAGTGTACCTGATTTCTCCCTGTGAAATCTCCGCCCATGGTGTGAGTCTTTCCAGACCCTGTTTGCCCATATGCAAAACATGTTGCAAATCCCTGCTCGAAAATTGTTTTAACCAGCGGTTGAGCCGTGAACCTAACATCGTTCCCATTATTCGAAGTGAGGAAAACCAATCAAGAATAAAAAAACACACCTGTAAACCATCTCATTGGAAGTGTTTTCGTCGAATGTATAGTCGAATCGGAACTTCTGATTATCCAAGTACTTTGTCAGGTCAACTTTGACCTGTGGCTGATGGACAATAAGATGGTCCCGATTTGGGATCGTGATCACCTAGAAATAGTGACTTTTTTCTCGCACGTACTGAAACGTATTACGATAGAAAAAACATCATTTTCAAATCATTTGGATCAAAATCCTTGAAAGGAACAGAAGACAAGCAAACACGCCCTCATAACTCTTAGGAACAGCATAGGGGAAAAGTTTACCTCGATCTCTTTCTTGTTGATTTCCTTCTTATTCAAAGGTCTTTTCCTAACGCATACCGAAATCCTGTTGTCAACAACTTGATCAGTCATTTTAAGAGGGCGATAGTCAATCTAAACAAAAATGAAATTATAGAGGATAAGGTCGGAGATCAAGCAAATTTGAAACTAACCTGAGACTGGTATTCTCTTATCATAAGCAGGAATTGATAATTGGGATTCCCAGGATCTATACTTTTCTCCAATTCCTTTTGTTTTTTGACGTTGTTCTAAATGATTCCAAAGTAAAAATGGAGCAATTCCTTCGCCATCGAATCCCAACAGAAAATCTCAACAAACATGACTGAGCTGAAAACGCTTACGTACCAGTTGCGCTCTTCTCTCCTCGCGATCCTTTTGCAGTTTCTCGATGTTGGCGACCGTTGATGACTTCACTTTTGGCTCGGGAAGAATCACTGTGTCGTGAATATCTGCAACGAATTTCGGATGTACTTTTCACAGCTGTTTTTGCTTATACATACAAAAGAAGAAGGAAGACATCTTTGAGAGCTTGGATCGATTTGAAACTTTATCGTACAACCGTCTACCACATAAAATTCTTGGTCGAAATCGAAGCCAACCAAACTATATACGTGTATAGGAAATTTAAATCGATATTTCAGCTGCATCACTCCAACCCTTGACCTCGTCAGTTGAATAAAATAATCGAAACTACTGCGTTATAAAAAATTGCTCGTTACTTTCTTGTATTCTATGTCTGTTTCGTGTCTAATGTGACAAAAACTACCTTCCATTTCTGATGAACGTGTCATTATAGGTTGTGGATTACGTTCAACAGGAGTTGTGGCAGCACTTGCGACAGTCGTTCGTTTTGTCGCAGCTGAATTCAAACAATCTCGCTCATAAAAATCTAGACAATATCTCAAGAGATCATTGAGAAGAAGCATTAAAAAGACGAATAATCACAACTTACCAGGTATGACCACCTTCTGCGGTGCAACTAAGCCGCGGGGCGCAGCTCGATGAGTAGAAGGTTGAGTATGGGCATTGTCTTCAGCAACGATAGTGAGGTCGTTAGCACTGCCTTCACGGTCAATAAGCATGGAGCGACTAAACAGAAGGTAGGGTTGTGCAGGATTGCAAAAAAATTACGTGCGCCATAAAAACGTCCAAGCTTTATTTTTTGTCTTGAATTTGAAGATGATCAAATCTATGAAGCATCACATCATGACATTTATAATTGCAAGGAAGCTTCAAAATGGTCGCCATCAGTTTCGACACATGTCCCAATTTATTTCTCCGAGTCGATGGTGTGACTGAGGTGTTCAATGTATAATTTATTTGAGCTTTTAGGCATTAATTCTGGAGGCCATCAAACTTCTGCATTGATTCCTTGGTAGCTTTTCGATAAAGCCACAAACTGAGAAGCCTGATAGACCCGAGTTCGGACTATAAGAAGGAAACAAATGCATCGTCAAAAGAGTAATTCTGGTTTTGAAGAATTAAATCGTTGCATTAGCCATATTCCGGAACCCATTCCTACAGAATATGTAATTGTTATGATTTTGCTTCCAGGGATTACTGTTCAGTTTCTAGACGTCTTTCTTTCACGAAATCGTAAGCTTCGGAGAACCGTTGAGCTCCCAGTTCAGCCAGTTCAGCTCTTTGCTTGCCGCTCAATGGCGTTCAAACTTGAGCAGGTCTTTGCAAACTTGGAGAAGAAATGCTATTTCTACAAGCACTGATAGGCAATAGGCAAATGTTTTGAAACGAAAGAAGTAATGAATCAAATGCACTTCATTCACTTAAACCACACGCAAGCTCTGCACCAAACGCTTCAACGATGGCCCCATGATCGATACATACTGGCCGTATCCTTTGTGGATTTTACCGATTTTTTTTTTGCTTTTCTGTTGTTTTCCGAATGCTTCTCTACGATGTAAGGAAGTGTGTGCTTGAACCGTTAGCGAACTACAACAGCTGACAGCTCATAAACCACATAATGAAATTTAATTCGAAAGTGTACTAGATTGTTTCTGACATGCACCATTGCAAGAAGGACACTGAGGCTGTAAGAAGACATACATCCCTTTGTCTATACCCATTTCAATCCCGCGAAGCTTGCGTTTTTCGAGATACGCATCTCGGTCAATGTATGAAGTCACTTTTAACCCTCCGTGCCGCTATGACATGACAACGCTCAGATCCGAGGTCAGAGCTCAACGATTCCTTCGAACTCAAATCCCGAAAAAAAAAGTGGGAGATTAGTTCAGAAGAGCTTTAAACAGCATTTAAGCATAAATAACTTGTTTCAAGTTGAACACGAGAAATGCACGTGTGGTGGGTAAAAAGCGCTACAGATTTGGTGGGAACGATATCAACGAGAGATGAAGTTCATATGACCCATGTATTCACTTGACATCTCCGCGCTTCCCTGGATTACCCTCCCAAAACACACATGACATCTCGAAATTGCAGGGACTGCTTTAGCGCTATTAATGAATTCTAAAAAGTATACTTGGCACCTAGAATAAGCTGTTGTACTGCAATGAGTACACAGATACGCTTTCATAAAAAAAGAAACTATATTGGGCACATGGTGAAACCGAAAAAAACAAACAAACAAAAGCCATCTCTTACCGTACAGCGGCCGCAGATGAGGTAGTCTCAGCAGTACCGCGATGAGTAGGAGCCACCACTCTTTTAGTAACACGAGGGATGTCATACAACATCTCATTTTCATCGTTACTCTCCTGTAAAAAGAAAGGAACTTCAACAATAGAGATAGCATTCACTTGATTTTGTTCAAAAAAAGCGATGCAGAAACGAATGGAAAAAAAAAAGAAATCAACCAAAGTGGCTACGAATCGACGAAAAACTGCTCTCACCTCATGAGCATGTACTAAAGTCTTCGACAGCGAATCCTTTCCCCTGAGAGTCGGATTTATGGCGAGTAAAGCGGTGAGATCGATCTCTTTCCCTTTAGTTTCACCCTGAAAGTAAACTATCAATAGTCTAAATAAAGGGCGTCGTACATAATGCTGAAAGCAGTGAATTTGATTCAGGTAAGATTCAACAAACAAGAGATTCAGGGCCGAAAATCGCTCATTTTTAAATGTTTCCAAACACTCAGTGAGACTACTGCGACCGTCAAACGGTGATTGCAATGTCATTAAGGTTTTAGATCCATCAAAATAAAAGTCGCACTTGATCATTGCTACCACCTATACTGCATTTGATCGTCCTAAATGAAGAATTCCCGGTCAGCTTCCCTCCACTCCCTTGTCAACCAAAAACAACATCACACTGCGTCCCCTGACAGCGTGAACGATGGCGTCTAGTATTACCTTGGCAACTACACAACACTACCCCGGAAACTAAAGTTCTGTTTGAAGCTACTACTCAGATGTCGCCACCAAAATGCAAAGAGGCGAATTCGAATCAATCTGACCGACAGAGAAGTGAGTCTCTAACCGACACGAGATCTAGAAAATGTTATACAAAAACGACACGCCATGCACGAGATAATTTTTTTGAACAAATAATAAATAAAATAAATAATGCCAACACCGTTTATAAGCACCTACGGTTATGAATCAGTGCTAATTACGTGGCGCATTCCCATAGAACTGATAAAATCGCATCAGCGGTATTTATCAAGCTTCATTACTCCTATGCTTCGTGCATCACACAAACTAGTTAAACATTATTTAGTGCGTATTTCAGTGATACCATGGGCCTGTATTGCGCGCTATTTGAACACAAACCGGATATAAACTGGCCAGTGATTTTCTCGCAGCCACGCATGATTGCTGCTCTCGCTCAAGTTTGCTAACCCTTTTGAGAAAATCACGATGAACGATATCAATTGAAAAGAAACCGCTTAACAACCCCTACAAATAACTCACTCGAAATGAGCCACGGGTCTTCCATAGAATGGTCTAATAACTATCGTTTGAGCGGGCACATGCTTCAAGGCCATTCGAACCTGGAAACCAATGACCTTAAGAGTGCTCAGCCCTTTCGGAGTGCATACTCTCGCAAAGAAAAAGAAGAACATGATATGGGATAATGCCGATATGAAGGAGAGAAGGTCGGGAGACAAGCTTCAACCTCCTAGCAAAATGTAATTTTAACGAATCTCGAGCTTCCATTGCGTGAATCTCCAAGTTTACTAAATTCTTAACAATATTATAGTCATAGATGCAAATAGTGTTTTGCAAGTAACAAAAACTGTCCACCACACACATCGTGGCTGTTGTAAATTTGCCTACGGTTTAACCTCTGCGAACCCACCGGCATGAACCCACGTCAGTTTACTAAATCTAGATTTTCTCGCTGCAATTCTCTCGTGTATTAAATCCACTTGGATGATCATGGGCGGCACGTGCCATGACTCATACGCTTTGGGCTTCTCCCACGATTTCGCAACCATCATAGCGGCACTCGATAAAGCCGAACAGCTCCAGCTCGAAAGCAGAGAATAGTCGCTCCTCGGGGATAAACATTATCAGGAAAAGAATAAAAGATAAATCGAAAAATAATGAAAAAAGCCACAAGTCTACCTTCTCAAACCACTCCACAAGAACTGCTTTCCGTTCTGGTTTTAGCTGAGAAACAACACCGCTCCATGTACCCTGCCATCAGACCTGAAAATGTAAAAAGTAAAACAATTAAAATACCTCCTACTCGGTGGAACTATTGACTCCAGTAGAAAGTACGGATACCATTCCAGTGATCATTTTGGATCCGTGAACACTTAACGGCTTTTCTTGTCTACTACTTACGCTACATCCATGGTTATAGTGAGCAAGGGTCACGTTGAGCTGATTTCGGAAGGTTTCACGACCCTTCCCATTCCCCCAACGCCACCATCACCCTTGGAGAAACCGTCTTGTGTTCCCTACCTCAGGCTTCATCCATCCTCTCTCCACTGCAACACGACCTTTAACTTTCTACCTTGGCCACCTACTGGAATCCCACATACGATCCTCTTTGTCAAAACTATCAGCACCAAAACCCAGAAATACGACAGCCTTTTTCCAAATCCCTCATGCGACCCTTCCTTTCCCTCGTTGAAATTGGCACAACAGACGGTTCGTGTGTGTAGAGGGTCATAATCCAATACAACGCCCCATTTGGATGGCGAATGAGTGTTACTTTTAGGATTCCGATGAAAATTATAAACACTATTGATCTATGATCTGGATCCACGCCCAGCACGGTTAATGTTTTGTTGTTTTTCTCGAGGTGATTCAAGCAAAAACATATTTCATAACAAAAAGCAAAACATCCCATATCGATCAAAAATGCGAATATAAAACTCTAAGAGCATAGACTGGTGACAAATACATATACTAGAGGATTCTCTTTTCAGAAGCGCTGCAGTTCGAAACTGAAAATGTCATGCTGTGAATTTATTTATCCTGCTTCATGCACGTGACTCTTGCAAAAGGATAAAAAAGCTCTACCATAACATTTGAACGGACATTTGAATGAAAATCATACAATTCATAAAATCTTAGTGTGCTAGAATGCAAACCTAATATTCAGCTCCAAACACATACATTTTTATGGTTGAGAAAGGTTAATGTTTCTTTTGGTAATTTCCAGACTGTCATGGTTATAACTAACCTCTGAATGTCAACATGCATGCCGACTTCGATCCGTTCCATGTTCCCGTTTGAATCCCTGCTCGACGTCGCGGGACGACGTGGCAACCCTAAAATCGCTGACCGTGTCACTTTCGGTATTGATCACCTCACAGAACACAAACCTTTTCGGTAAAAAACAAGATTGTAGGAATTTTTCTGCTCATGCCTTGAGACCGAAAAGGTTAATTCAAATGCAACAGCGATAAAGCAAATTTTTTGTTATTCTCTTACAGAAAAAAAACTAGCGTTTTCTAAGCATCGCGCTTTTTCATTAGGGGGGGGGGGGAGGGAACGAACTCTCGCAAGGGTTGTCTAAGACAGAGAAAATTCTCGATATCTTAGGCAACGTACGGTTACCATGGTTAAAAAAACCCGTTTTAGTTAGCCTATTTAAGTAATTTTAACTTAAGTACGGCACGTAAAATAGGTATAACAAGTGGTCAAAATGCGTTAAGGGTTTCCCCGATAGGGATGTGTTTAAATGCACTAAAGGATCTCATATGGGCAGGCAAATGGTTAGAAGGTTCGCCCACAGTCCATTTCCTATGTCAATTTAGCGGCTATAAAGTCACTACCAACTGCCTTAAAATTGACGTATAAGATCTCAGAAGAGGTTCTATCAGAAATGAGCGAGTTTCTGTTTTGTGGAAAAATAAAGGGAACAGCAATTTGAGTTGGAGAGTGCACAGCTTCAGGGATATCGATCGCACTAGAGCTATTTCACTAATGACAGCCGAAAAATG